AACAACAATGAGAGGCCTATATAGCTAGATGTTCCAATCAGACAAACCGTCAGGCTAGGACCCATCTTAAAAACTGTCTTGTTTTTACAGATGTAAAAGATTTTTATTCTTTCTGATTCTTATTACAAGAGATCTCTGTTAATTGACCTACAAAAAGTTCTGACTAGTCTTATTTATAGTTATAAACCTAAAAACTCTAAAAGGGTTATTATAATTTGACTTGGCCAAATACATCTGAGTAGACTCTGTTTTTTTAAAAACAAATTGTCTTATGTGTACTTGTCCATCTGTCTGTCCAATCTGTTTTACAGCAGTTTTGTTTAAGCTCAACAATTTTTTTCTCTTTTTACCTTTTTGGATTTTAAAAATATTTGTCTATAACTTAAGTTGGCTTATAGAAAAATGTCATTAAAGTTAAAGACATGCTTCTCCCCAGGTTGCCAGCTGATCAAAATGATGTCAAGACTGGTTTTACAAATGCAATACATACTGTTGTCCGTGTCTAATAACTCAGGAATCTTTCATTGGTCAAGAATAATGTGTTAATTGTTAAAATCTGGTTCTCATAGGTCATCTAAAATTTGTTAAGATAATTAAATGGGGTCCCTTGGGCCTAGAGAAACTGTTAGACAGGCCTCCCCTTGGTAAATAAAGGAGCAGGTGCCTGGAAATATCACTTGTTTCAGCCTTTGTTCACAAACGGGACCCCAGCAATTTCCATAGCCTTGTGTGAGACTCACCTCAAGAAACATTGCTAAACACATTATTGTGCTATGTTTACACCAAAAGGTTAAGTTTTCTGTGGGAAAAAGTTAAGGTTTTATTAAAAGATGCTCTTGGGTTTCATATAACTATGATACTCATTCATATAACTATGATACTAATTTCATGGTATACTAAATGTATTCATGCCTTCTGGGTATACAGGTCTTCTAAGATATTGTTTACAGTAATAACCTTTTTTGACTCAGGCATCTGCCTTTCTCTTGTGCTCCAGCTACTTGTGATAAAAGGTAAATATCAAGCCAGCATGAGAGAGCCAGTCAAATAATAGCTTTTATATAATATATTTGTTATATGTGTCACTATACTTAGGGATGCTCAGGCACCAAACAGTCCAATGTCACACACAAAAAATTAGAGGCTAAACATTATAAACTTCTAAGGTACATTTATAGTGTGGTATGTTCTCCTTAGATAGCATCTATTAAAAAATAACAATGTACATGAGAGTTTTTTTGTGTGTGTCATTTAATATCTCGTAATCAGATGGAGATGTTTGATTAGGAGACTATTCTATATTAAGATGAACATTTAAGTGTGTTATAAAGATAATATCATCATGCTTGAGCTAAAATACTGTGTGTCTCTTGACCTCAAGTTTTCTCTATAAAACTATATACCTGTTGTCTGTTAATATCCCACAGGGATTCAACTACTAGCACAGCTGTGGTTAATAAGAAATAACAGCCCTATAACTATACTTTATATTTCAAAAGTGTTTGCTATCCAGACAAAACGATAATAGTTAAGCTCACTGCTCCTACTACACTACTAATGTCACTGATCTTCTCTTCTGATTTTCAACAACTAAAGTTTAGAGCCCAGAACTAAAAAGGTAACTGGGCTAAGAGCAGAGCCAATATTTTCGCCCTGGCCTTCCAAAGTCAAGGAGGACCCAGGACATGAGGGAACCTTTTCTACAAGATCCTACAACTTTGGTAAGTCACCCAACCTCTCGAGTGGGGAGATTGCTAGATCTGAGAGGACAAGAATCAACAAATTCAGTGTGCCAAAGGAGAGTCACCAGGAAGGAAAAATCTCTCATGCTTTCACAGAAAACAACATGGTCAATCAAGGCCATGACCCATCCTGACAGCTGACATTGACAGCAGATTTGAGGCTCTATACATGGTTCCAAAGTAGTGCCTGAGGAGATTTAACTTACCCTGATAGACAGCAAGAGGTTAATTTTGATTGACACAGGTCTCACAGGTCTTGACCTTAAACACCTAGTAGAAAAGTATAACTAAAGATATTATGTCAAGACCATAGTAATGAAGCTAGATATAAAAAGAGGCTCCAATTGCTGATCCTTTCTGGCAATTTCCAGCTACACCAGTAGCTGATCATTGTCATTAAGAAAAACTATAGCAAAAATTGTAAGAGCACAACAAAAAATTTTAAATTTTTTAGCTAAAATTATCCTTCAAAACTACCAAACTCTATCTTCTTACAGCTAAAACTAGAGCGACTTATAACAAAATATCAGACTTATAGATAATTTCCATCAGTAAAGGGATCTAAGTGCCAGCAGATTACAATTGCTGTCTCAGTCTCTTAAGAACAGTTTCCAAATGTAGCTCTTTTCCCAATCTGCCTTTCCATTCCAGTGCTCATGCTTTGATTATAAATGTACTAATTTCTTTTAGAAAATTGTTATTCTTGCCTAGAGGCTACCCAACTCCAAGGAATCATACAGATGGAACTAACAAAAAACGTGCTGGACTCCTTTACCAGGATCCACCAGATGAATCTTGTAAAGAAAGTTCATAACTGCTAAACTACAACATGATTTCCATCTGAGGCCCATTAGATGAGCTCTCAGGAGCTGACTGTGGCCTCCCCTACATCAACCCTTCTCAGCTCCAAGCAGTTAGAAACTATGCCCCTGCTCCCCTAACCACAGTTAGGAATATTTCTTCACAGGGGGAATACTGTAGACAGCTAAGCTAGTTAGAAAATATTATAAGGCACTTTGGCAGGATGGGCCCTCAGCACCAAAGACAGCTGTGTCCTGAGGCTCATTCACTGATGGCCAGGATTCAAGAAAACAGGAAGTACTACACTCATATACTTTCCCTGGGGATGAACAGCAGGGATTGGTATTCTAAATAGGCATCAATCACCTTGGTGGAGACCAAAACTTCCCTAGCCTATTCCTTCCTGGAAATCCTGATTCATTCCATGTGTGCTTGCTACGTGATTTGCTGCCCCATTTGATCCCCATTTAATCAATATTACCTAAGCAACTGTACTTGTAATCTTACAACAGTTTTGTCCCACCTCGTGATTTCCCATTGGGTCAATATTACCTGAGCCACTATATTTGTAATCTTACTAGTTGACTGTAGTTTTGTCCCAGCTTGAACCCTGCCTCACCTCATGGCTTTGCTCAATAAAAGACCTTTGAGAAGCAGGGTGGGCAGACAACTCACTTTCTGGGCCTCCTCTGTCTCTCTTAGACAGAAGCGATCTTTCTCTCAAATTTTTCCTACTTGTAATCTCTGTTGTTCCTAGAATTCATTCTTCGAGTTTAGGGAACACAAATTTTGTGTTTTAAATATCTAGCAGGTTGGGCATTAGAATATTTCCCTTACATTATTTGGATTATTTAGAGGTCCTATGTCATATGCCTCGTATCACTAGGGCAACTTTCTTATGGGGTTTATGTTAATTTTCCCACCATCTCGAAAATTTACTCCATGACCTCTAATTCTAAACTTCATCATGGAGTAAGCTGATGACAAAAACGAAGGCATCAGGGTTTAGGGTCGGGAGGGTTGTGTCACTGGGAAGGGTCATGCACAAAGCCCCACGTTTCACAATTCCAGGGCACACCCTTGCATGGTATTGTATGTGAATGGTTCCTGCGAGTGGAGCAAAGCAGAGGCTCTCCACATGCTCATGTATTCATTCGTTCACTCAGAACATCCTTCTTGAGGTGAACAGATGCCAGCATGGTCCTATGTGCTGGGGAGACAACAATAAACCAAGTGGATGATAATCCCTGGTCACACAGAATGCCCCCAAGTCCTCTCCTTTATTGTTTTGAAAGGGGAAAAGCACCCTGCCTTCTAAACAAAATGCACTTGTCTATAGAATTTAGCCCAAGGACTACTGGTTAATGGCCTCTGCTTTAGCCTTTAAATTATTTCTATGATCTTGAAAGTTTAAGCCATAGGGACAAAATGTAGCAATGGACTGACCACAGGTTTGCATCCACTGCTTAGCTCATGCTTAATGAGAGCTCTTTGTACATAAAAATGCGGCTAATTAATTTTCAATTAAAATTTTACACCCCACCTCAGGGTCTATAGTGGCTGGTCTTTTTTTTTTTTTTTCTAAGAAAACATAATTTGTAGAGGTGATTTGTTAGGTAAGGGAAGAGGAAAACTAGGATGAGGAGGGGGTCATGGTATTCTGCCAAAGCCTTACCTGCCTAACTGTTCGGGAGATTAATAAAGTCACTGAACTAATTCAGAGTTTGCTCCCAACCAACTATACATTTGATTAATTTTTTTTTCAAGCAAAAAAGATCTCCTAATATTTCAGGTCATTTTCGGAGTTGTGCTAACCAAAACAGGGGAATTGCTGAATTTAAAGGACTCTCTGAAAAAGAATTTATTTCTCAGTCTTATGGCATCTTCCTGCCATTCAATGCAAAGTTTTAATGTGATTGGCATAGAGGCAAAACGGAGCTGCAAGAATATCTGGTCACCTACCTCCTTTCATGCGTGGAGGATTTTCTTGTTTGTTTGTTTGCTATGGGATGCTTCAGTAAAATCTACAAGAAAGCTTGTATTAAGTTTCCACGAACAGCTTCAGAGAAAGGCTCTGGTGATTCTCAAATAGTTTCAGAGTTTTCCACCTCACAACTCACTTTGCATTTTCTTAAATAAGGTCATGACTCAAAAATATTTAAAGGACCTAGGTAACAAATCTGGTGAAGAGACAGTCATGGTATAAAGATGTAAAGTTCATGAGTCAACATTCCTCTATTCCAAGAAACTGAGCAAAGACCATTTGTGATTATTTATTTTCTACCTGCCTCCCAGGATCCTTTTCTCCAAGCCCCTGATAAATTAATAATAATCAGAGGAGAGAGTGTAACCATATTAATCTACACATTATATTTAATTACTTTCCCTAAAGTTAGTTTGGAACCATTTCTTAAAAGCTGTCAAAGGTCTCTCTGTCTCTCTGTCTCTCTCTCTCTCTCTGTCTCTCTATCTCTGTCTCTCTCTCTCTCATCTCTCTCTCTTTAAATCACAAAGCAAAATTCCACTGTCTCTCCCCCACCCCTTCTAAAAAAAAAAAGTTGTCGAGTTTTGCTTTTCTATTCACTGCAGTCCTGGCCAAAGTAAAGCCCTCTTTCTCAATGACGTCAAGATCTTTAGCAAGATTAGGCTTTCATTTCTCTATTGCAGCAATTAGCTAGAGAATATATAAAAGGCTTCAGGGAGACTCACTGGGCTGTAGAGGGAGGCACTTTGCACACAGACAGATAGCAGGAAGGAGAAGCCAGAGGGAGTGAGCACCGCACTCAGTCTGCTCCTGGAGAAGGGAGAGAGAGTGAGACAGGCTGGGGACAGAAAGTGTATACAAAACGCAGTAAAGAAAGAAAAACAAACTGCCATTAAAACACATTTTTAAACTAGCAATTCAAGAAAGAAACAGGCTACGTTTAAAGAACACAGAGACAATGAAAAGCTAAGGAAAAATTTGCAGTCTCTTCCACAGTCTCATAGGTGCTTGGAAATGAAAGTAGAACAGCGTGTCTTTAACGGACTCTGACAGGGGTAACTGGATTAGGGACGGGTGCGCCAGTTTCTTTCTTTCTTTCTTTCTTTTTTTAACATCTTAAATCCTGAAAAAAAAAAAAAAGAAAAAAAGGCAGCAGCTCCGAATTGAATGAATTGATGGGCACACTCCAACTGCTGGGCCGGAGAGACTGAACTTGGTCTTGCCATTTCTGCTTCTTTGAAAGAGGAGACAACTTGGGCTTCCTTTTAATTTAGTTTTTCTCCTTCTCTCCCCACCCCTAACCTTCCCCCTTACCTCCCCCACCCCTCTATCACCACCCCTCTTTTAAATAAGAGGGCGAAGGGGAACCAGAGCGCACAAGAGGACGACTCTGGAGGCAGCGAAAATGGGTATCCTCAGCATAGACTTGCTGATCACACTGCAGATCCTGCCAGTTTTTTTCTCCAACTGCCTCTTCCTGGCTCTCTACGACTCGGTCATTCTGCTCAAGCACGTGGTTCTGGTGCTGAGCCGCTCCAAGTCCGCTCGCGGAGAGTGGCGGCGCATGCTGACCTCAGAGGGACTGCGCTGCGTCTGGAAGAGCTTTCTGCTCGATGCCTACAAACAGGTGAGCTGTGCCCAGGTGGGCTTCACCCAGGTCAACCTAGTGGGACTTGCAGGCTAGGGCCTGGGAGCTTTGGGGGGCTTTGGGGTGAGTCCTGTGGAGCCCTCTTTGGGGCCAGCCTAGTGGTTTTATGCAAGTGAACCTCTATGTTCACCTCTACACCTGTTGCACAGGTTAGTTTAGGAGGGATGGATATCCAGCCATAATGATGCTGTGTGACCTAATCAGGAGCCTTTTAAAAATAAGTTATTACTGTATCTTGCTGTGATTTTAGAGTAGAGGGTTTGTACCTGTAGAATAACTTTGGGCAAAGACAGAAAAAGTAGGAGGAGGGGATATTTATCCTGCCATTGTAAACTGGAATTTTGATGTTTTGCTTGGTGGGAAGCTAGGTGAGATGCACCAGGAAGGACAACTGAGTTAGCATTTTCCTTTTTCTTGCTGAAAAGGGAGTGCTACTTAAAAGAGTTGACAAAGGAGCAGGTACAGCAAGTGTGCTTGGGCACTATAGCCACTTCTTTTGTTTCTGATAGAGGTAAGAGTTAATGAAATTGAGGCTTAGGTGCAGCCTCTATGCTGATCTGGGTTTGTGCATCATTAGTTACTAGGTATCAATTTGCAAAAGAGATCAAGAACTGGCTATCAGGAATCCAGACTTTCTAAGGGGAGCCAAAGTTATTTTATTTTTCCAAGTAAAAACCAATTGTCTTGGAAGGAGCTGATGGGTCCACATGTCACTGCAATCCCCAGCCTTGAGCACTGGAGCAGTGCCTGGCTTACCTGTGGAAGTTGTCCCCCTAGTTGCTCTCCAAAACCCTGTTGGTGATCTTTGTTTCTAAGTTAAAAATTCTGGTGTTCAGCCTTTTTGCCTGCTTGGAATGCTGGTACAACAGTTTCAGCTGAGATCTTAAGAGCAAAGAAATACAATTTGTCACCAGTCCTCTGTCAATTTGCTCCCACTCCCTTATGCAACATGATTCCTGAGGGGCCCCTGGAGTTAGGAAGAATAAACGCACTTTGCAAAATGTTGCAACGAAAGGAGACAATCTTGGTTTTCTCTCACAATAGTGGGTGACCTTGCAAATGACCCTGAAGGAGAGGGTTTTAGAGGAATATTGAAGCCAGGTGTTTAATGAAGTGGCACATGTTCAACAGGCAGAACCTCAGAAACAGAGATGGAAACTCAGAATAATATAGGGGAAGGGGATGAGTCCTCTGTAAGTAAACACTAGAAAAATAAAGCCAAGCACCAGGAAAATAAAAGAAGAATCCATGGTGGGGTTGTTCTTCTGAAAATCAAATGTTCAAGAAGAAAATGTCTATTGTAAACTACCTAAATTTGACTATAATACAGATCTTTCTTATTGAAAGCAACCTGCAAAGGGTCTGCATTTATTATCCTGAAGATATGTAAATTGTAAGAGCTCTTAGTTAATGGAAATTCCTTCATGAGAAAATGAATGGATGCTCAAAGTCTTAATAATAAAAACTCATTTATATTACGTACATAAAGGCAAATGAGAGTTATGAGCAAGGAGACACTGAAATCATTATTCCATTTCCACAAATGTATATATAGAATGTGAAATTTTTACGTGTCATTTTAAGAATAAGAAATTTAGAGGCAAGAGGAGTACACAAGTATACATGCATTATTAAGAAGTTACCTTATTTACACACCTGTATTTAGTATATTTTAGATTATATAGAAATGTCAGAGGCTTGGTCTCAGTATATTCAACTTTTGCTTTTTTGAAAGACAATTGATTTTTGCTTATAAAAGAAAAAATCACTTCTTGGGGGGAATTTTACTGATATGCATATATGTCTAATATAAATGCCATTTCTCACTTCAACTATAGAAGCTGTAATATTACTCACAATATTAAGTGAGATGTTTTCCCACTAAGCAACTTATTGAAATAGAAGTGGAAAAGCAAACACATGTGCCTACAATAACCTTTATTATTTACCTTTTCACTAATGTGTAGTGTTTCATTGTGTTGTAATAGTTTGTTATTCACATTCCAGGAAATTGGAAAGGATGAGTGATTTGTTTTTTCTTACAGCATATGGTTTGTATGTTCTTCTGCATTTCTTTGTCTCGGTTTACTAACTTTATCAGTGACCAAGTTCATGCCTGATAATATTATGTTTGCTTTTAATGGTTTATATAATAGCTGCCATGAGCATAAGCAACCCCAAAAATCATATATCCGGAGACAAGAGTGGACTGATTATGTTATAAATGGAAACACTGAGAACACTGAATTGTGGTTTTTTTTCTGTTCTCAAGTATGGTTAGCATAGGGGTCACCTTGATGGCATATGAGGATCACATGAAACCTCTCAAACAGGTTGAATCATGTCATTGAATGCTGTTGTCATCTGTGCCACTGTCTTTGGGTGTGGGCATTTCTAGAGGCACTAGAGGAGGTCTGTCTGAGATGGCATCACAGTATTTCATAATCTTGACTTGCAAGCTTTGGAGGCTGCCACCTGAAGAACAGCGTTTTCCAGGACGAGGGGCGTGTCTGCGTGTAATAGACCTAGACCTGTCATTTGTTATTCTTACTTCCCCTTGCTGTTGAATGTCAGATACTTGGGAAGATATTTGAGTAAATTGGAATAAAAGGATGATCCTTGTGTTTTACCAAGACAAGAAGCAACATTGAAGTAAAAGAACAAGATGGAATAATAAAATAACATCTTTCCATTAAAATATTGAAAGAGATTTAAAATTGTAATAAGCTTTCAAAGATCATGTAGATTCTGTGTGCACATTTGATTGCAAACTGTCTATAGAAACTTGTGAGATATCCTGAGGCAAATTCTTATTTAAGCTATTTCTTATTTAAGTTTCTCACTCAGTGTCATTGCATCTAGACACTGTAACCCTGTGCTGGTGCTCAAAGACTCAAAATATTCAACCCATAAGCAAACTGCCCTGTCTGGGAGCCTGGCTCTTACCTAAATGAAGTGTAAAAGTAAACACACAGTATAGATGCTGACAAGCAGTTTAGTTTCTGCAAGGTTAATGCTGCACTGGCACCAAAAACATACTCATTTGAACATATAATTTTGGTTTTGAAGGATCTCTTTAACATTCCCCTTCTGCTCTTCATTCACCTCAAGCCTTTTAACACTAGTTTCTACAATGGGAAAATGGCTCTTTTAAGAGAGAAACTGTCCCAAAAGAGAACAAAGAAGGCCACAGCCAGAGCTTGTCTGTCACTTGGATAAAACATTGGGAAATGATAGGGCTTTGAGTCACATTTTCAAGGTACAAATCAAAAAAAGAATAGCCAAAGAGCAAATGGAGCTTAGGAAGAGGAGTAGGTAGCTTGTTCTTCAACTCTGATTTATTTGGCCAGTCTGCATGCAGATGGTTAAGTCTCTGCTTAATGATTGTTTGGCCATGTTTCTAAGGACATTGATGTAGCCTGGTCATTATGTCAAAGAATCTGAAACTTCCTGATAGTTAATAAAGCCACTTCCAGGGTTTTGGATAGCAAGAAGTATGTGTAACTCTTCTGTCACACACCTAACCCCCATTTTTATCATTTGCCTTGCATTTTAATCCTGAGATTATGTTATATTTTATCCAAAAACCTTTCTCAGGCTGCAGAAAGAAAGGTTAGTAGTATATGCTCTATTTCCAGCTTCACTTGATGAATGGTTCTTTTTTTCCTCCTTGCCCTGAATTTCACAGTCCACATGCTAAAGCCGTGTTATCCTTTCCCCTATGCACCAGACACTGTCAGTAAAACAAATCCCATCATTAAGGAATCACATCTTATATATGCTCTGCATTTGCACTCATTTTCATATTCATAAACATGTCTACTGCAACTTCTGATCTTGGCCCAGAGATGGCCTCTTGTATAACTGCAAGTCCTTTATTCACCTACTTTATTGATGCTGTGTTCATGTTGACTGCAAAAACATAGGAAAGGACAATTGTAGTAGCGCAGATGAGAGAGATAAAAGTCAATGATGATGACTATCACATTTTATATGTGTCCTTTCTGATCCTTGCAAAAGAAAGGGACCCTTTGGGAACATCGGAACTTCAAGACCAATTAGTGGAAATGATGCTTCTTGTGTTTGGGCATTAAATACTGGGCAGGGTTCTCTTTGGAGCAGCTAATGCTGGCAGGGAAAGAAGTACCGACCTAATTACTCTTCCGCAAGAGTAAAAAATGCCTTTTGAATGCCTCTTTGGCAAATATGTCTCATTAAGGACAAAAAAACCGAACACAAACCCTCTAAGAAGAAGAAATTAAGATGATAGGTAACTTGTGGCCAGGAGCCTTTCTGTGCCACTGTGGGAAATTAAAACAAAGTTTGGGAATACCAGGATAGAACTTGTTTTTGTTGAGCTTCTTTCCCGCAGCCTAAATGTTATTGTGGGACCAACTTTATTTTCCTTGTCATTTTGGCTCTGGGTCAAGGAATGCTTTGCTCCTGGGAAGAGCAAAGAATCTTCCATCATTGAAGACAATGGTGATTCTCCCATTGGATCTCAGCAGGCTTGTTAACCAGGCAAACCAAGAAATTCTCCATTTGAAACTTTAGTCTAGTAGGAATTTAGAAACTCTGGTCTAATAGAAATTTAATTTCATAGTGATCAAACAGTAATATTCTTTTAAAAGTTTTTTTTGTTGTCGTTGGAGTTTAGTTTAGAGTAAAATTATATGTTCTTTTTCCTCTATTTTTGCTAAGTTGTCCTCCATCAGGTTTAGTAAAAATAGACAAATTTATTAGTTATATTATGCTTATAAAAGCAGACTACTACTCTACTCATATTTAGACTTAGGGAACATGGGTGTTTGTTTTTCTTTCTAATTTTAGTAAGACCATCTATCTTACCTATGCATTTTCTCCTACCCGGTTGCCTTCATAAATAAGGATATCCTTTAATGACATTCTAGTCTATGTTAGCGTCTTATGCTGCTCAACAAAATAAAGAAGAATGGCCATAGCCCTTTTATTTACTAACCTATTTAGATATTCAAGATCAGATTAACAACACTGGATGTTAAGTGTGGCAGTAAGCTACAGGAGGGTCCAGGATTCATGTTTCCAAATGTATCTGCTCCAGCAAACTTATCCATCACCTAAATAGAATTTATATTCTCTGTAGGTCGAGGTTATTAATAAGTATAAAATTCTTCACTGATCTAGGATTATAACAACTAGAGTTTAATCAATCATTTATTCAACAAAATTTTTAAAATATAGATTTCAAAGACAAACAAAATGTTAACCCCATACTCCAAAGAGTGTTATGTATTTGACAACTTTCCTAATTTTTAACTGTATTGTACTGGTTCTACATTTTTCTGAGGCAAGCCAGTTTGTGTTTTATAAAGGTTTCAGTGACTGAATTGTTCATGTCTCTAAGGAAAGTGATATTAACTTTCCAAGAAAATTAACTGCAGGTAATAAGAGATCACCTGTGCCTGAAGCATCAAATTAGATTATTCAGTTGAACAGTCAGGACTAACACAAGGGTCTACAGGATTCCTTGTGTGAGAGAGAGTCTGGGAGTCAGAAGCCTGTTTATCAAGACTGCACTGTTGTTCATGGGTTCCAACAATGACTCCAAAAGACAGAAGGATGTTTTCACCTGCTGCAGACCTACCAGTTGGTAGTGTAGAGATTATTTTTCTCCCCTGTACAGGTTGCTACTTACCAAGAAGTCTCTGTAGCAGACTCACCCATCCATTCAGGTCTTATCAGTGTGTTGACAAACACAGCACCCACACTATGGTTAAAAGGAGGTCTTCTAGAATCATGATTGTCTTAAGCAGAAAAGATGTAGAAGGTGCTGGGAATTCTGTTCATAAAGAGCTACAAAGTGTTGAAAGAAGCCATAGATTAGAAGGTTTATGCTTTTTAACATCCATATGTTTAAGTGTGAAATATATTTGAGAGCTTCAAAGACCAGTATAGCTCACATGAAACAATCCAGTTAAAAGTGGCTTAATAGATTTCTTCATCTAGTGTCACTTGCAAATTGGCCAAGAAAATTAAAATTTCTCCCTGGTGGTGACTGAAACCAAATAACATCAACAGTTTTCTTTCTGAAGAGAGATTATTTTAAGATTCACCTTTAGAAAATAGTACTTGTTTCAAACCTACCCTGCTAGGATTTTTCACAAGGAATAGAAAGAACTTTAATTCTTTCTCTATAGTTAAAATTAATTATACATTAACATTAGATAGAAGCTTCTGAATAAAAGACCTTGAGTGTTTTATATCTATTTGGGTTGTTCCATCTTCAACAATTCACTTCTAAGTGACTTCAATTAATAGCAGTGTTATATGTGGATGTATTTATATGAGAAAAATAAGTCGATCCCATTGGACGTGTTTTGTAATAATAAGAGTAGGGTATAAAAATCAGTTATACTGTGGTAAGCTGTCCCTAATGTTATTGGTTTTGATTAAACCATTCTAGGGGAAGATTCAATTGTGTTAATTCAAACTGAAGCAATTGGTTCTTTTATGTTGCCTGCGTTTTATTATCAATTTATAGATACAAAGGCCACAAAATTTCTTTCATTATTCTGTGCTCAGCTGTTTAAACCATGTTCAAAGAGGCACATAGAAAATTGCTGTCTATACCTCTTGTGCCCAAATATTTTATCATTTAGAGGAGCTCACTAATAAATTGTATGGTAAAGAAGTAGGTGGTTTGTGACTTCCTAGGTGAAAGAGGGAAAACAAACAAAAACACGTGGAAAATAAGAAAATGACTAAAAGTAGGATTCTGGAAAATTATGTTTTTGTTTTTCTGTATTTGTTAATAGAAATTGTAAGGCTCTAGTCATCAGAACCAAAATGTAAGCAATAGTGGTGGAAACCTTCAGAAAAGATACCACATTGAGAGGGGCCCAAATCTCTTCTGAGGGAAGTTTATTAATTTATTTTTCACACAGAATTCCCCAGGGAAAGATACATTGTGTTCCATGAGGTGAGTTGGGGCATCTGATAACAGCAGCACAGGACAGGTCCATGCAGTGATTTAAAGAGCTCTTTTCTTTCTGTTACTCTCTGATAACCAAACAGCATAAGAAGATCGGTCTCATTACCTTCATCTTACAGATGAGAAAGCACTGGAAGGGTTAAATGGGGGTAACCCTTGTAAATAGTGGATTCCAGGTTTCTAGGTCTGGCCAAAAGGGAACCCACTTACCATTGTCCAATACTTGAGATTAAATAACTTAGCAGCATCCATGGAAAATCAGGTCCTGCGTGCATATTTAGAATTGAAAAAGAGGCAGTATGTCCCAAGACCTTGATAATTTGTCTTAAAGTCAATCAGTCATTTGCTCCTAACATTTAAAATGAGGTCAGTAATTTGTTATATAATGTGTGCTAAGTATTGATGGCAAACTGGATAGTAAAGAATATCTGCCTCAACTTGATTATGAAGAGTTACTGCCAGTGCTTCAATGATGAAAATAATTTCCTTCAATGAATGCACAGAATAAAAATACTTTTGTTCTCATTTAACCATTCTTTACGTGACGTCTTTGTACTCTCTGAAGGAAATACCACCTTTTATCAGCCAATGTTATTTGTTTCTAGTGAACTGAAGCAGCAGTGTTTTTAATGTAGTATTCTCTTTCTTCCTTTGTTATCTTTTTCCATCAACAGGTGAAATTGGGCGAAGATGCCCCCAATTCCAGTGTGGTGCGTGTGTCCAGTCCCGAAGGAGCTCACAGTAGCGGAAACGGTGTCCAGGAGAAGACTGCTGATGGAGTCCAGTGCCACCTTCTTGACTTCGCCAGTGCCGAGCGCCCACTGGTGGTCAACTTCGGCTCCGCCACTTGACCTCCTTTTACCAGCCAGCTGCCTGCCTTCAGCAAACTGGTGGAGGAGTTCTCATCAGTGGCTGACTTCTTGTTGGTCTACATTGACGAGGCTCATCCTTCAGATGGTTGGGCGGTACCTGGGGGATCCTCTTTGTCTTTGGAGGTGAAGAAACATCGGAACCAGGAAGATCGATGTGCAGCAGCCCATCAGCTTCTGGAGCGTTTCTCCTTGCCGCCCCAGTGCCAGGTTGTGGCTGACTGCATGGACAACAATGCCAATGTAGCTTATGGGGTAGCCTTTGAACGAGTGTGCATTGTGCAGAGACAGAAGATTGCTTATCTAGGAGGAAAGGGCCCCTTCTGCTACAACCTTCAAGAGGTCCGGCGTTGGCTGGAAAAGAATTTCAGCAAGAGATGAAATTTAGATTAGTTGGTTAAAGGTATGATCACAATAGAGCTATTATTTAAAAAAAAACTGTATAAAGGAAAGGAAATTAAGAACTGAATCCACTATTTCCATTGAGTCCCATTGCCTCACTGAAAGACAGGAATTTACTCCTCAGAAGAACATAAACCTCTAACATCTCAGTACTTCTTTCCCCACTCAAGTGGCACTGGGTTAAATAGTACTCTGTTACATCTCTTCTTAGTGAAAAGATCCAGATTGGAGAGGAAGAAACCCTGGCTCAGTATGTGTTCGTTCTTCCTTGAGAAATGAGTGATGCTTGCTTTGGGACCAGAAGAAACAGTCACCTGAATAATGACTATGTTAGAGAAGCTGCTGTCTATATTAAGATAAAGCACATTGTGTAGGCTTTAATCATCATGGGTAGAACGCAACTGGAAAATTCCAGAATCCTTACTTATAATGCATTCTTGAACTCAAGCTACGTGGTTAGGACTTTGGAGTTTAATGCGTTGGAGTGATTCTAGCCATACAGTGCTCTGCACCAATCTACGTAGCCCAGAATTCACAGGTACTTGTAGATACCCAGAATGACACCTCCACTTGAAGATTAGAATAATTGTCTGGAATCTGAGGGTTACTTTCTAGGGAGATGGAGAAAGTACTAGAAGAAAATCAAACTGACGAGCTAGAAAAGAGGAGGCAGAAAGATTAGGAAACTTCATAGAGTTTCACCTTGAAACTATAGAAAGAGACTAATTTGCTCACCATGGAAACATAGGAATAGATACAAAGCTAGAGAAAGAAAAAGCTTAACTAAAGCTAGCATAAAGAAAATGCATATAAAGACAAAATATCATATACTCCTGGACTGAGGAAGACAGAGGGATTGAAAGGGAAAAAAAACTACACTTAGATATTTGCACTAGTGAGATTTTTTGGAAATAATTACTTTAAGAAACATGTATGTGGTATGTACATTTTTAGTGGGTGAATTATACCCCATAATAATTATTAAAGGAAAAGCCAGCGACTGGTGGTGCTGGTCTGTTCCTCCCCAGTTCCTACAGTTATGATATGGGCCACTCATTCGAAGACCCAGTCTTTTAGGCAGTGTTATCTCATGAATGCTGAGCTGAAGTTGGGGGGAGGTACCCTGGCCATTCAGCTACTGCCCTGTTTTCCTTCCTACACCTAATATAGGTGAACTATAATGAGCGATAGGTACAAACACACACATTTCCTTCATTTGCAAAATAGAAGAAGAGTTATTTTGAGTTATTCCCATAATAATTGTGTAGGGTTTAATATAAGGCTATCCTTAGTATAAGGGAATTTGGTAAAATGGAATTTCCATTGACATTCAAATTCAGAATTGGATCTTTCTTTAGTCTCACTAGCTGAGGTTTAATAATCCAAGGCCCCAATATTATGTGATTATAATTATATATGTATGCATATACACATATATACATTTCTCTTTAAAATAAAAACAAAATAGTTTTACCAATAAGTAATACCTAAAGATCATAACCCTCAGAAGAATAGACCAACCCATCATGTATCACAATTTTTAAAAATTTGAGCATACTATCAAATCACAGCATATGGTTGATAAAATCAAAAGTTCTTACATCCATTCAATTAATAACTGAATCACAAAACTAATTACAAAAAGGTAATTTCAAGGTGAGAGTAAATTAGTTGGCTAAAATGAGAAAAGTGAGAACTGGGTATGCAAGAATCAAAAGCACTTTTTTTTTAAATGGAGCAACTAATCAGTCATATCTCTAGGTGGTATATTGTTTAATATTAAAGCTCCATTGTGACTAATTTTTTTACAGCAATGCCTAAGCTTTCCAATGTTTTGAGTTCTATTTAGAAAAAAACCACAAAGAAACAAAGCAAATTTCAAAAGTGTGATGTTATCTAATGAATTACTCTAACTTCATGTTGAGAATAGATTATTTCAGATTCTTGTATTGTTAAACTTTATAGTCAAGGCTTATCAGTGGCCTCCCTTGATTTTTATCTTCAAAATGTTGTTGAGATTTATGTAGTACTCTACAGAAGCAAAATGAAAAATTAGTTATAGCATACCCACATCATTGTCTTTAAGCTTCCCCTTTATTCTACACATGTGATAATGGAACAGGATGTCAGAGAAGCTGGTGGGGGGATGAGATTTGGCCAATGAAATGCTAGTTATCTAGGGAAAAGTGTGATGGAAAAATCACCCAGTTGTGCTATATTTTTAAAGAAGTGGAAGGATGTGTGTGTGTGTACACACAGGCAGTTCTCCTGGAGGACAGTCCAGCGGAGGTATGAGGTGGAGGAAGTAAACATTCAAAGACATAGGCTGACTGTCAGGGGGAAAGACATGTTCAGTAGAACATGGAAGAAGTTCTGGAAGAAGAGTTGTGGAAGTGGATATGGAGAAAATAGGTTGTAAAAGCTCAGGAATTCTACAATATGTAGTTTGGATTGGCCTTATCAGGATTATGATAAGCCTGTAATTATGTAACCTATTTGTTTCAACATAAACTTTTATGGTTTCCTATGATGTACCTTTTATAAAATTAACAACTCATGATTTGAGATAGAAGAAAATCAATGCTTAGCTGATTTGCTCAGAGAAATTATTATATTTTCAATACCCACCCAACTATCATGTCTTTTATAAGGTACATTCCCTTGAAAAATTACAGTTCTAATTCTCACAAGGGAAAAACATATATAAAACTCTAAGTTCCTCTTCTTAGCACCTAAACATTTCCCACCATAGGCTGTGTTTATATGAAACTATCAGTTTAGCCCTCTAAGCTGAATTTGTTTGTCTGAATTGAATTAGTTTCCAAGAAATTTTAGATATTATCACAGTATCTGGATTTACTCAAACATTTAGTGTTTGAAAGATGTCATGGAACTATTGAAAACTTACTTTATTTTATTGCTTACAGAAAGTATCAGTGGGATTTACAATGACTTTCATGAATGAGCATGAATGAAATGCAGGAACAGTAGCGTAGGAGAGTTTCATACAGCTATTAAAATGTAACAGGCCTCCAGAGAGCCATTCTAGTCACTTGTCTTGCTTTGCAAAGCTGAAGTGGCAGCCATTTTCTGTGATTTTCCTCATTCACATTTTGGATCTCTGGGCCTGCATCTTCACCTCATTTATAAAATGATTTACTGATTTTTGGTAATATCATCTTCAGAGTGGTGTCTTGATTTAGTTAAATTCTTCCCTCATTAACCAAGAGATGCTTAGTCTCTGATCAAGGAGGAAAGAAAAGCCTACACGGTCTTTCATTTTGTCAGGACATATTTCACTATTTGGTTTCTTGAATAAAAATTATAAAATATGGGAAAGTCATGAGTGGGGGCTGCCTTGGTGCATAAAATACCAGAGGGACTGATAAAGACAACATTTATGACTTTGGAAAAACTCTTAGATGGGTACAAGGTGCCCTTGGCATAGCCAGTAAGCTATACCCACAGCACGAGGAATTTACTAATTTTAGAGAGCTTCCTATTATGTGAATCATAAGAGGATGAACCTGGAAATTTATTCCACCTGACTTCTGACTGACGGTTTGGAAAATAAGTTTAATTAGAGTCCTTTGGCCATTGAAAAGGGTAATATGTAGATACTGACTTCTCACCAGTGAAGGATTAGTGAAAACATTTACTAGCATTTAGAGCTTTTCAGAACATGCTCAATGTCATGTCTCTGAGCAGGGAAGATCCACAATGGGTCTTTTAATTCAAAGAGCCTTTAAAATATGATATTACCAAAAATTAAAACTAGAGTATAGTTATAGTCTAATGTTGCCTCTTTTAGCTTAAAAATAGAAGTGAAACCCACTTGTATACATACTTGCTGAAGGAAACATAATATAAATTTCTGCTCGGCAATGCTCTTGGTCTTTTTTGAGACCTTTTCGGAATGGAAGGGACTGAGGCTGGGTGATCGAGGGAGTTGCTGAGAAGGAAAAACTAGCCCTGGAGATCTCGGTCTACCTATTTGGCGAGATTTGAGCAGAAATTTCTTATGGTTGGAAGAAGACTGCTGAGTGTGCCTAAGTGATTTGAGGATGAGGAAACACTTGGGCCACTTCCTCATGCTCTGTGTTCCAGACAGCATGAGAAACAAGGCCTCAGACTTTACAGGTCCATCTCCGTTCCCAGGTGAGTCTGACCAAACAGAAAGCAGACAAGTACAGATATCCAAACAAGACTGCTCACGCAAGCCAGGGCTGGCTGCCTGCCTTGGGCAGCAGCACCAGAGCTCCAGGGAGTTTATTTAATATTTACTGAAACTTGGGAGACCCAGCAGATGTTTAATGAAGTCACTATTTTGGCTCAAACTCCCCTCCCTCCACCTTGAAAAACAAAAAAAGCAAACAGGTAAACACATAAATGAAAGAAGTCCACAGAAAGTGGATGGGAGACTTAAAACAAAATTCTCTTACATCTTCTCCAGATTGTGTCACTCACTGGGCAGTGTGGTTTTTATGTGTGGTACGACAAGGGGATATGAAGACATAAGTATCCAGAACTTTATAACCAAAGCAATGAAAAGATATTGGATAGGGAAGGTTGGCCAGTTTTGTTTAGTTCTGCATCACATTATCACGGACTCACTAGCCCAAGTAATCGGCACCCGAAGAGGGAGACTGAGACGTGCAGAGTTCACCAGTGTGCGAATGATAACTGCTAACGAAAGAGTCATCGACTCAGTTAGTGGTTGGATGAAGTCACATTAGTTTGCCTCTCCCCATCTCTGTCTCCCCAGCAAGGAGACTATTCGGGACTTATTGCTGGGTGCTGGGTCAATGTGGTGAGAATGTATGTGTGTATATCTCTGCTTTACAGTTGCAGAAAAATGAAATGCTTTGGAGATTATTGGTAAAAAGAGTGTTATTATATTGGTGCTGAGTGGTATGTGTGCTTTTACAATTTGTTCCTGTATTTTAATAAACTTTGAATAAAAGAATAGAGTTACTCTTTGGTTCTATTTGTTTATTTTTAAATGACTTTCTAGACCTTGCCTTGGGCTGGAACACATTTGTGGTTGACAAGGGAAAGAGAATTCATCATTCTAATATTTATTCCTCGGTATTCGTGGGCAAAGAAGAAACAGTGCCAGATTATTTTAATCTCATGCTGTGTGCCAGAGTCTTCAAGGAAATCAAGACAAGTTAAAAGAAAACCTTCAGATACTTTCCATATTTATGAGCAAGTCACACATAGAATTCATGGAAAGGCGCCTCTTTAAGAGACTGTGGAGTAAACTTCTATCTACTTTGTTAGGTTTGCAACCCAGATTTTATAAGTGCAATAGAGAAACTTTCCTGGAAGTTGGTTAAAGCAACACACACACACACACACACACACACACACACACGTGATCACTGGTGCAATCAATAAGGATATAAATGTCATGGAGGCCGTGGTGAATCAATAAGAAGGAATATGTTTGTAACATGGTTAAATATCTTTCTTCTTGAAAACAGGAGACTTAGACAAAGTATAGTTATCTCCTGAGACTCAACTTGCTAGCAATTTTTACATGTAATAATTTCATCAACATCTGTAAAATCTTATATAATATTCTAGAACTTTAATGGAGATTTAGAACATCTTTGATAATGTTAAGTTGAATTTCTATTCTTGCAGCACCCTGTGCTAGGTGCAATGTGAAGTGAAAAAACAGTAAAAGTGATAGCTTCCTTAGGGAGCTTGTCATGAATTGGTCAAAGCCTTCCAAGTGACAGACAAAGTCAAATTAATCTGAAAGAAAAAGTGAAATTTATTGGCTCATATAAACAAAATCCGGCAAATGACTGGGATGAAACTTTACTCAGGAACAGCTGGATCCAAGGACTTAGAGACTTTCAGTGGTTGTGAGAGTCTTTTTTTGAATTTTAGTTTTTCCTCCCAGGCCAGTTTCTCCTTATGCCCAACTAGAGGAAAGCGAATGACTTATATCTGACTATAAGATGGATCAGGTGGAGTTTGACCTTATTCTCAGGAAAGCACTTGGACTGGAGCAACTTGCCCTGTCATCATGGAGATAAGGCCTATTACCAAACAAGGAGGATGGGAATATTCAAAGGTATCAGAAACAAATGCCTTTTCTTTTTCTTAAAGAATGAGACTGTGTTATTTTAGAGCAGTTTTAGACTGATAGCAATGTTCAAAGGAAGGTACAGATATTTTCCATAAATCTTCCATGATACATGCATAATCTCCCTTATTTTGAATATTCTTCAAGACATTGATATATTTATTACAATTGATGAACCTACATTGATGCAGCTCATCTAGAGTCCATCAATTAGAGTTCATTCCTGGTTTGTTATATTCCATGTATTTTGACAAAAGTTTGATGACATGTCACTAGTACAATCATAAACAGTGTATTCGTTCCTTTATAAATCCTCTGTTCTACCTTTTTATCCTTCCTCACACTAATCCCTGGAAGCATTGATTTTTAAAATATCTTCATACTTTAACTTTTTCTGAAACGTCACATAGTTGGAACCATATAGCTCCTAGACTATTTAGACTGACTTTTTTCAATAGAAATATAAAGTTCCTCCATGTTATTTTCATGGTTTGACAGCTCATTTCTTTTTAGCAATGAGTAATATTCCATTGTCTATGTATAACACAGTCCATTTATCCATTTACTGATAGAAGGATATCTTGGTTGTTTCAAGTGTTGGCAATAAACATGTAGGTGCAAGTTTTTATGGTGTGGTCATTGTCGTTTGCATATTTTAGTTCCTATCTTCTAAGGTTGTCTGTACCACTTTGCTTCCCAACCAGCACTGACTAAGAGTTCCTAGTCTTTTATCCTTGCCAAGCACTGTTGTACGTTATCTTATTGTTGAGTTTTTAAAAGTTCTCTTTTGTACTTTAGATAACAATCTTTAATCAGATATATCTTTTGCAAATATTTTCTCCTAGTCTGTGGGTTGTCTTTTCATTTCCTTGACATTGTATTTCACACAGTAGAAATATTTAATGACTCCAGTTTATCAACTTTTTCTTCATGGATCATGTCTTTGGGGTTTTATCTAAAAAGTCATCATCAGATGTAAGGTCATGTAGGGTTTTTTCTGTGTTATCTTCTAGGAGGTTCATAGTTTTGAATGTTATATAACTTTAGTGATGGTTGAAAGGTTTGTGAATAGATTGTTTTCTTTTTTCCTTTTTTATAAAGCATGGATGTCCAGTTGTGCCAGCATGATTTGTTAAAAAGATGTTGAACTTGTGAAAAATGTGTATTCTGCTACTGTCGGACGAAGTAGTCTATAGATGAAGTACACATCGTCTATAGATATCAATTGGAATGAATAAATTCTACCAGTGCTCTACCAATTTTCTGCCTGTCTGAATGAAATATTGAAGTATCCAACCTCCTATTATTATAACATCCCATATCCATAGTGAATTCATCTATATTTCTTTACAGTTCTTACAGTTTCCTCATAGTCCTTACAGTTTCTACCGTGTATACATTGATATTCTGTTGTTAGGTGCATAATGTTAAAGATTATTATGGGTTTATTGAAAATTGACTTCCTCATCATTATATAATGCCCTTCTTTGTCTCTGGTAACACTGATTACTTCCAGGTTTGCTTTGTCTGAAATTGACTTCCTTGCTCTTGCTCTCTTTGGATTTGTGTTAACATGGTATGTTTCCTTATTCACATTCTTTATCTTAAAATCATCTTAATATTTAAAGTAGGTTTCTTGTATAAAACATCTGCTTTGGTCTTGTTTCATGATCCACTCTAACAGTCTCTGTATTTTCATTGGTACGGTTAGACCATTGATATTCAAAATGATTATTGATATAATTGGATTAATATATACCAGAGTTATCTCTGTTGTGTAATCATTGATCCTATTCTTTGTTTCTCATTTTTATCTTCCATTTTCTTTTATTATTTATGATTTTAATTGAACATTTTGTATGATTCCATTTTCTTTCCTTTTTATCAAACCAGTTATCTAACTTCTTTTTTTCTTTTCACTTTTTGGACTCTTTTTTTTTTTTTTGGTACCAGGGATCGAACTCGGGTCTTTGTGCTTGCGCAGCAGGCAGCAAAACCACTGAGCTAAATCCCCGGCCCACTTTTCACTTTTTAAATTTATTGCCCTAGACCTTGCAATATACAATCACAACTAATAATCCAAGTCCAAGGTCAAATAACACCATACTGCTTCACAGGTTGTGTGAGTACTTTATAATGACACAATAATTCTAATTTTTCATTTTTATCCCTTGTATTATTGTGGTCATTCATTTCACTTACATGTAAGAATACATAAGCATACTTATACATAAGTAATTAATAAGGATATGTAAACAAATACATTGTTGCTCTTATAACTTTGAGAAGACCAGAATTCTCATGGAAATGAAGACCGTAAAGATCAGGCTCAGTTGGTTTCAGTTGGAAAAAAGAACTCCATTGGCAGTTGGAGTAAGACCGTGTGATGCTTTATTAAACTCTAGCAGAAAGTTTGTCTATATTTGTTCATGTCCTGAAATTTTAGGGGGGGCAGACTACTTAATCTGGTGGAAGAAGTTTTAAGCCAGCCCAATGTTGAAACTGTGATATGAATATTGCTGGTGGCTTTTAGCCATATCTACCACAAAAAGCAGGTCCAAAAAGCAGACTTGAATAATTTAAAAAAATTTGCTGATGGCCAGTAAGGAAGCGCCTATGAAGTTGGAGCCTATAAAATTGAGACCTGTAAAGTTGGGACCTATAAATTTTAACCTAGGATAGCTTGGTTACTGAAAATATTAGCATTTTAGAAAAGCCAAGTACTTTGCATCAGGACAATAGGAAAGAGGTCTTGAGGTCAACTCAGAAATCAGAGACCCCACACATTGCAAGCTCAAAGGTACACAGATATAGAGTTTTCATTTGAGAAGAGAGTGTCAGGGTATCTTGGTTGAGAAGGACTGCCTAGGGAATGGGTTCCCTGGGGTTCTGTTCACAATGCTTAGCCATCCAGGCACTTGGAGGCCTCTGTAGCCATGATCCAAACCCTGCTACTGCTTGAGCTGGTGGCAGATCTTAGCATTATCCATATGGTACTAGTTTTGTGGTCATGCAGAGTGCAACAGTTGTGGGGAGAGAGTAGTATGCACCCAGAGTTCAGAGGATGGCCCAAGAGGCCAGGCAGTGTGTCCCTGAGAGGACAATGTGTGAATCTGTGAGAACAAAACCAAAGTGCAGCAGAGAACCCAGGATTATGGGGAAGCCAGGAACATGGAGTGTTTCAGGAAAAGCAACGGGCAGTGAGGAAAGCCATTCCAAGAGAGAGAGGGGCCGTTAGAGTTGCAACCAGCAATTCTGTAGCGGTAAGACTGCCCAAGCCCTCTGGAGTCATATTCCATTGACACAACTTGCCACAGGTGAGGACACAGAGCTACAGGACTCAGTGTTTTCTCTGTTGGGTTTCAGTCCTGCTTTGGTCTCATTCCTTTCTGACCTCATTGTTTTCCCTTTTTGAAAGGAATGCTTATCCTGTGCCACTATATATCAACAGTGCTTAACTTTCTGTTATTATAGCCGCGGCTCATAGCTAAGAGTGTGCATTAAGCCTCAGAAGAGACACTGGACTTGAACTTTTAAGCAATGCTGAAACTGTTTAGACTGAAAACTCATACAGATGGACCAAATGCATTTTGCTCAAAGAGATAGATGTACATGAGTCTTTTGGAGGCCAAAGACAGAATGCTGTGGTTTGGATTTGCAATGTTTCCCAAAAAACTGATGTTCTCAGAGATGGGGTTTTTGATTGGATTGTGCAGTGCTTCAGCTGAATTGCTGTTAGGAGGTCGGGCCTGGTAAGAAGTGGGTCACTAGGGGTGTGACTTGGAAGTCTGTGTCTCTTTCCCTTGTTCTTCCCTTCTGTCTATACTTCCTGGATACCATGACATGAGTTAGCTTTCCTCTGGCAGACTCTTCC